TTCAATAAACGACAAACTTGGACTAATTACCTTGTTCTTTGTGAGTATACATCATTTACAACAAACATCAAACACGGTAAATATATTTTCATTAAGTATTTAACAAACAAATGGCTTCTAGCGCGATAATTATGTGAAATGAAATTAATTGTCTAATATAAAAAATAGTTTGTTACTGTCGGGCTCAGAGTCTGAAAGGCTTTTCCTTTATCAAACAAATTGTTTTTGCCTCTTATTTAATGGAAATATTGATGTTGATGAGATTTTCTCCAAAATTATAACATTTTTCAACCTTTATAGCTCCACTGTTGAAAATGAGGCTCTAACATTCACAAATAAAATAAAATCCAGTCCAACATCTGGTTTGAGGTGATTCCTCTGGAACCTGTTGGAGGAAAAACATCCCAACTCCAGAAGATGAGCTTTAACCTAACAGAGCTCTGTGGTTCCTCCTGTCAGTATGAGAGTCAGGGTGAGGAGGTGCCATGTTAGGAAGAGAAGTGGAAGCTGCAGGATCTTCAGAACAAACAGGTCATGATGCTGGGCTACTGATTATCCCTCTGTCTGGACACAGGATCAATAGAACCAGTTTAAAAGATAAAATGAATGGTTATATACCAGACATGGAAAACTGGAATGCACTCCATGCCATGATGTTCAGAATTTATAGCATCTCAAGGTGTCAACATTGCAGCCAGTGGGTTGAGGGAAATACAGATTTATTTATTTTGTAGCAATTCAAGAGCTTATAAAATGTCCTTGGATGTTTTGAAAGGCGCTAACTAATAAAATGCATTATTACTATTATTATTATATAATGTCGGAAGATGAAGACTGAAGATTAAATAGTTTTTTGTTTTTATTTTTAATGACATAATTGCAATTATATTAAGATCGGGTTTAAAGCAAAAGCCTTTTGTCTAAGAGTCATGTAAAAGTGTCATAAGTCTGCAACAATCAAAAAGTGTAATTTGTATGAAACCAAACCTCAATGACAACTTCATTTAATATTGCATTCTAACCTAATTTAATCCCTTCATATTGGATCGATTTAATTTGATGAAGATAAATTAGCAGAGAAACAATTTTTGGACCTCGTCTTGTTTTATGGAGAGTTCTGAAAAACTGAAAACCAAAAATAATAGATAAATAAATCTAAAGAAAATAAAAATAATAATAATTTCAAGTAAAATCTCTATAAAAATGCTCTGAAATACAAAGTTTCATCAGTCTCTCCCCCATTGTGGTTCCACAATATGATTTCATGGAATGTATGACTGAACCGAAATGATCTTTAATATAAGGTGCCTTTCACAACATTTGTTGTGAAATGGTGCTATAGAAATAAACTGAATTGAATGTAATTGTTTTCTCTGAGCAGGAGTTTGTCATAATCTTTCCAGTAAAAATAAATAAAAGGTTATTTATTGAGCACAATAGTCAACAATATTCAGTTTAAAGTGAATTCAAGTTTGGCTGAAAACATTGTTTTTCTTGTGTATTTATTTATTTTTAGGTCAGTTCAGACATGCTCTATTTCTGGACTTCACATTATATGCCTTGAAAAAGCTCTCCAAACAATCCTCTAAGTTAAAACAGTCATGATTTTGGGGTCATAAGTTCATTGTTGGCTGCAGTTGTTTTTTTTTTCCAAATTTAACCTGTGTATCATATTTTCATTGTTTAGACATATTTTCCACTAAGAAATGTTGAACGGAAAACTTTTTAGGGTGTGTTTTACTTGATTATTAAACTTTCAGTGCCTGTTGTGTCATCTGATAAAAGATCTGTTCCATAGCTCGTCATTCTTGTGCCGGCAGAGTGGATGAGCCTGTCTGGGCAGCTAGATTTTTGTTGGGTTTTTTTCCCATTAGCTCCACCCAGATACTTGCTAGCTGCTAGGAAGGACTCTGATAAGCAGGTTTTCACTCAGGTGAGTTAGTGTTTTGTGTAACAAACAAAAAAAATGGTAGGTTTTCTCTCTGCTAAGTTCCTGATTGTTTAAAGTTCTTGCTAAATTCTGACGATTTTATTGTTGTTTTTGTTCTCAGGAAAACTTGGACAGCTTCTATGAGAGGTGTTCACTCTGAACTAGAGTGGAGGAGCTTGTTAGTTATCTAGATCAACACAGGTGAGTTTCATTTGTAATTGAAACTTTTGATGGCTGAACTGCCTGCATGTCTGTTGGTACAACTATGAAGATTATTTTATAGACATCAAGGTATAGAAGACCTCTTGTTCTGTGTCTTTAACATATTCTTTTTTTCCCCTCAGGGCTACTGGGGCAGTGGGGCCGATCTTAAATATCCTTGTTTCTTAATTAGTGGCTCGCTAATCACTTAACTTGGTGAGTACATCCATTAAATTAACTCCTGTTGATTCCAAAAACTGTGAAACTTTTATTGTGTTGTGAAACACCTAAGTTCAGATGAGACTGAGAGCATTGACCTAGGAACAGGGAAAATAAAACACAGTTCTGTAAAACAGCATTTTGCAATTACCTTGACAAGAACAGGAAAAATATTGGCACTTTCAAACTACAGTTTCAAAAAGTGAAGGGAGAGGGGTTGTATTTGAGCAGTTTTAAAGTAAATCAAGTAATATCCAAGGATAATGTTTATTAAAATATAAAAACTAGAAAGAGCTATGTGGATTTTAATTTTTTTTTTTTTTTTATAAAACTCGCATTTCCATGCAAATTCATGGAAATGAACTTGCATGTAGTTCATTTCCAACATTAATGAAGTTGACATTTAAAGAATCTGCTATATCATAATCTAAGTATTATCAGGTTTGATCATAAAATTGACACAAAGTTGTTTTTTAAAGTTAGATTTCAGTTACTTTAATTTAATTTGAAACCTTTTTCTGCAGTTCCAACGATTTTGTGTGCCTTTAATTGGTGATATTCTAACTTTGTATTTCAGAGCAGATTTATAGAGATTTTACTTGAAATTAAATTTTTAATTTTCTTTAGATTTATTTATCTATTATTTTTGGCTTTCAGTTTTTCAGAACTCTCCATAAAACAAGACGAGGTCCAGAAATTGTTTCTCTGCTAATTTATCTTCATCAAATTAAACCGATGGACCATCAGGTGGGCAGTTCCCAGTCTGTCATCAGCTTTGATAAATCCCCTGCCAGCACATTCAAACCATCCCATTCACGGAATAACAGCACAGGTTCATCTAAACATTCAAAACAGGTAAGAAAAATAAATGTTTCCTTTGATTTGAACATATTCAATGAAAGACCTGGGACCCAGAAATGTATCTTCTATTTTTTTTTTTTTTTTTTTTTTTTACAAAAAAAAAATCTAACTCTAAGACTAAAAAATGTTAAGCCCCATTTCA